TTTACCTATTTTTAATTTCGTCTAATTTACTAATTTAAATGAAAAAAATTACAGGTGCTATGTGGAGTCTCCGCACAATTTGTGTAGAGACTCCGCACTTGTGCGGAGACTCCGTACAAATTGTGCGATTTTTGCGGACACGTGAGGACTCCCTTATTTTATTTTATTGTGCGGAGACGTGAGGACTCCCGTATTAAAAACAATGTGTAATAAATACGGTATGATGCAAATATGGTATGCTGTAAATACAGTATGATGCAATTAAAGTATTTGTAAATATGGTATGCTGCATATACGTTATGATGCAAGTACGGTATACTGTAAATACGGTTGGCACCATATTTGCAGCCTACTTACCGTATTCCGCCTATCATATTTACAACTTACCGTATTTGAAGCCTACCATATTTGCAGGCAACTTATCGTATTTACAGCTTACCGTATATGCTGCCTAACATATTTGCAAATTACCGTATATGCTGTCTACCATATTTGCAACTTAACGTAAATTTCAATTTTTGCACTTACAAATTTCGAAAATGCAGAACATTGTACATTCACTTACCAAACCGGATATCAAAAAAAATTCCAGATGTTTATTTTTTCGACATAAGCATAAAATAAATATTAAAATATATGATTTGTGCTCAATCTTCAATTTTTCAATATTGAATTAGAAATATAATCTTCACATTCAACTCAATCATATCAATACTATCAAAGAATAAAGGCAAAATAGTTTGTATATTGTCTTATTCAAGCATGAATATACGAACATATTTTTTTCTAGAAAACACAATACTGTTGCAATTGTAAAAATAATTTACAATTATTTTCTTATATCATGAAAATATTTCTAGATATTGCTTCAAAAACTTTCCAAAAAACTAAAATTCATTTATTAATAAAAATACGATAAATACAAAATTTGTGCAACGCATGTGATAGTGACTAGTTATAATTATATTGTATCATATATAAATATAGTTTTTACCATATTTAGTTTGATTTGTTACTATTTAATGAAAGAACCTTTCAGATGGTATCAGGTCATTCTGATTCTAAACAAACTAACACTTGATTTTGTTTTCGGCACCGGCCTAATTTTTTTCTTTTTTTGAATAAACACGATCTTTCTCTCAGTAATTTTTTTTTTTTTCAATCTACAGTTTTACACGTCAATGAATATCTCCACCTCGTCCACTATATCTTTTCTGAAAATGCATAATGTGATGCATCGAATAGCCCGCTATCAGAAATCAAGCTGATGGAGGCGTAAGCGTATACCTACCCACAAAAAAAAAAAAAAAATAGAGAGATTCAAAATCAAAATCGGCAACAAAAGGTGGAAATATTGTGCGATTCTCTTGCCAAAGCTCCAATTCTAGTACCCAAAGCAGTATTCATCAATTTGGTCTCAGTATTAGTTCCCACTAACTAAAGCGAAGGCATCACCTATTGAATTTGGCTGTGCAGTGGCCTCCGTTAGTGTCGTTTTGCCCGAATTGACGCGAGCCAATATTCCAATGTTGTGGAGCTTCTACAGCGATTCCTTCCACCTTGCCTCCTCCTCCTCCTTCAGTCGAAGGTTGGGGAGGTGGTGATTTCGGGTGTAGTATCCGTTGAAGCGATATGTGATTTTAGGTGTGGTGAGGAAGAAGCATTCTACGATTATTACACAGTAGAGGCTTAATTAATAGTTGTTGGAGTGGCAGAGGTGGTGGCGGATTGGTGACAATGAGTGGGGCAGAGAAGGCGGCTGTGCTTGATACTGTGGCTACCGGCGTGGAGAGTTAGCAACTGTGGTTGGTGGCGGGTTAGATTAGAATACAGTTTAGAGGTTACAGATGGTGGATATGGGCTGGGTTAATAGGTAATGGGTTGGCCTGGGTTAATGGGTCAGCTTATGTTGAAGGTGGGATGATTTTTTGTTTGGGCTGAAAATAGCGCGTAATGGGCCTGGGTTATATTTTGACAATGGACTTCTGGATAATTGGGCTGATTTATGGTTACTCGATTGATTTGATTTTGGGCTGAGTGCTGGTTATAATTTTTTTTGAGAAAAATTTATATGTAAGGTGTATTGCTTACACCAATTCACAAATGAGGTACAAAGTTTAAAAATTCAAAATTCAGGTTTTTACATAATTAATTGAAAATATTTATTAATTAAATCTAATAAAGTCACAATTACAAGATTAATGGTCACAATTTCATAATTATTGGTCACAGATTTACTTATTGGTCACATATCATCGAATTAATTGGTTACAGATTATTTTGATGTCACAAATCAAAAATTTTGTAGATTACAGATTATTTCGAGGTCACAGATAAAAAAATTACAGGTCACAAATTGTTTCATTGGTCACAGATAAAAAAAATTACAAGTCACATAGTCACGTATGTTCAAATTTATTGGTCACATATTCTAAATAGTTGATCACATGCACCAAATACCCCACCATTGATCCCGATCCAGCACCAATCTTGGTCACAAATCACCACCGTCAACAAAGCAAACACCAAAAAAAAAAAAAACCCACAAAAAAAAAAAAAACCAAAAAAAAAAAAAAAAAAAAAACCACCACCACTGTCATCGCCTACACTACACCCCCCCCACCTCCACCTCCAATCAACGACCGCACCACCATCATCTACTAAAAGCACCATCTCTCCCAACATTACCACACCACAGCAATCGTCCCACCAACAAAATCATCAAGTCTCCCATCGCCATTTTCACTTTCAATACAACACAAAATCAAACCCCAACTTTAGCAACCAAAACAAAGCTGCTGCATCGGCGTTGCAAGAGAAGTCGATCTGAGCGTCCTCCAACCATCGCCGTCGATCTGAGCACACTGCAGCGACATTGCGAGAGAAGTCATGTACAGCGACTTCATTGTCGATCTGTGTAGAGCCACCACTTCCAATATGTGCAAAGCCACACCCAACGACGATATCTGTGCAAAACCACAAGCAGCGACAATGCGCAGCTTCTTCGCACCTGTGAGTGCAGCTGCAACTGAGAAGGGAGAGGTGTGCGTCGAATCTGCTTCGCACTACAGAACTCATTATCGCGCTGCGACGGCGATCTTCGGTAGTAGGCGGCAATCTCTGGGAGTGGGCGGTGGCTCCGAAGGTTCAAGTTAAATGGAGAGAGTGGAAAGAGAAATGAATTTGAATTTTAGGGTTTGTAATTGGATTGGGATGAGATAAGGTTGATATATTTTATATTAATATTAATATTAATAGTTAAATCAATACCTGAATTGTGAATAAAAAACTTTCTCACTTGATTTTTGCACTGTGATTTTGTAAGTTTATGTGGACATCTTAGGCTAGGGTTTGAAGTGATAGGCCTGCGATTAAAAAAGTTGAATATGGCGTGGTGGGCTGAAATTTTTGTTTGGGCATAAGAACAATATAATTGAGTTTGAGTTGAGGCTCTTAATTAAGTTGGGTGGTTTGTTTTTGGTTAATTTTTGGGTTTTATCATAGTTAGGCTTCATTACTTGGCCAATTTTTGGACTGCTTTATTAACATAAGTTCGATGATCGTTGGGGTGCATTATCTGGCCTGATTTATTAGCATAATTCGGGTGACTTTCGTAAATTGGTTGATTAAGTTTATCGTGGGTTGAAATTTCTTCCTCAAGTAACATGTGACAAAATACAATTTTATATTAAAAAAAAGGTGAAGGGATGAAAGAGACATGATAGTGCAAATCGTTGGATTTTGGTTGCTCGGGTGATGAGCTAGAGTTTTAAATTCTCGAAGGAGGATCATCTTTGCATTTTTTGGTGTAGGCTGTTCTGTGGAATTTCTCCCAACTACATCTTGGCCAGAAATATATTGCTGGAATCTTAGCAGTATTTTGGCGTTAGAATTTTTGTTGGAACACAAATTATGTGTTCATAGTTGGTTGCTTTGACTTGGATTTTCTTCTTGGACAAAAGTATTGTCACTGTCGCAATTCAAGATTGCAAAGAATCAATTTGAGGGAGGTGTTAATGAGGTTAAATAAAGATTACGAAGATCATCGAGATTACGGATTACGGAATATTACGGCTATATTATAATTATATTGTATCATATATAAATATATTGTTTTTACCATATTTAGTTTGACTTGTTTCTATTTAATGAGAGAACTTCTCACAATAAGAGGTATCGAGTCTTATCGAGTATTATTCAATATTATTTGTCACAGATCATTGAAGAAGATAATTGGACTTCGATGAGGGATGGCCAACAATTGGCAATGGTGGTAGACAAGAAACAATGGGAATCACTTTTGTTTATACGGAACAAAAATTAAAAGAAAGTAAGCTCTTTTGGGTTTTTGGTTAGGCCATGCTCTATTCCCCTTATTTTTTAATTAGTTTTGACTTGGCTTCATGAAGTATTGTAGAACAAATCTATTTTGTACGGCAAAAAAATGTTATGCATATACCTACTGCCATTTAACCCAAGCTTCTGCAATTACTTGTATAACGCAAGTGCAAAATCAGTCTTCTACTTAGGATATTATTCTGCTTGTAAATTGGTAAAGGTACTAATATCCATGGTACACCTATCTATCCTGAAAAGGTGATGGTACCTGCACATTCTAATTAGGTTCAGTGCTTGCATAAGCAGTATCAGTATGTATTCAGTTGGGTAATGTTTCACATACCAGGATCTGATTCTGAACCATCACTTCATAATAAACCCAAAAATAAAAATAAAAATAAAAATAAAACGAGATCACCATCTTTTGGTATTATGTCAGCTGTTTTCCTTTAAAATGTCATCCCAATCAAAGTTTAAATGAGCAAGAGGTGTGTAAGAGAGTGCCTTAACTAAATGTCATTAGCTTACATGATGTATCAATGAAAATTTGATAGCTGCAAACATGAAAAGCAGTATAGAAAAAATTCAATGAGACATTTAGTGCCAGGAAATCTTGCTATATAAGATGCATCATATGCATAACAATATTATGGTATACTGACCTTTCCAGGTTTTACCACATTTACATCCTCCAGAGAACATATTGCAGACTGCAAGCAGCATAAATTTGAGTATCAATTAAAAAATTGTCTTCAATAAACTTTAAAACATTATACAAAGGCTGGTAGCAGTTTCCTTAAAAAAAAAAGCAAATAGTGCTTCCAACAACTTTGCAGTCAGTGTAATTAATAGTATGTTTCCCAAGTGTTTATAACACCTGCTAAAAGTCAAACCACTGTTTATCCACATATTTCGTGGGACCCACAAGTTCTAAACATTTAGCCACCACTCTTTTCTATCTGTTTATAAACACTTGCCAAACATTGTCCAAGATTTTTCGCCCCTTCCTATTCTAAAATTTGAAAATCAAAGAGTCAGATCTTAGAAATTATTTTTTTATCCTATTCTGGTGGGTAATGGAACACAGGAAAAGCATCTTGGACTTAGGAGGTTCTATTTATAAGAGCACTATAACATTGCAAAAGTATTTAGAAGGCTCTAACAATGAATATTCCATATTAATAAGTAGATTCCCTCCACTCATATTTGACTATATTACTGCTACGTGTGCAAAAGATTATAAGAACTACAACACAGTTTTGAATGAATGTTTCTTTTATTAATTACACAGATACATTGATAAAGAGCAGATCTGCAAATAAGTAAATACCTGGACAGGAAAATCCATTTGTGGTCTCCTCGTAGACCAGTTGATATTGTCCCAATTAACTGAAGGTGGAAACATTTTATAATCCCTTTGCATAAAGAATCCCTATGCAGCAGCAACGTAAACTTCATAAAGCTTAGTAAAGAAGATGCAATCATTCTTCAGACTAATTATGGTTAAATTTCAACCTGGCATTCTTCTGCCAGGATATTGATTGAATCAAGCCATTTGACAGAACGAGCACCAATTACACCTGGGACAATCACCCGTAATGGGTATCCATGATCCCTGTTAAGAGGCTTTGCATTGTTGGCAAATCCAGAACACAAGGATTAGATAGAAAAAAGAAAGAAAATTGAAAGGAAGATGAAGCTAAACTCTATCTAGAAGAGCCTATAAAGCAGAGAATTTATGCCAACATAATAAAGATTCAAGTTCATCAAACATGATAAAAGAAAGGACTTTAAGCTACCAATGGGTAATCAAGTTCAAGTAGAATATAAATCATAAAAAACTTGCAAGTAGAGAGAGAAACTTAGTGATTCCATTTAGATCAGTGAGAATTTCATCAAATCAGAATGGACATTCAATTTGCATGATGTATTACGTACTTTATTTGATTGAATTATATCTATCTAAAGAAAACAGAGGGGGCATGTAAATACTTATAGCCAATATGCACACATGGATGGAGAGCGAGATAGATTGCTAAAGTTCCAGCATGTGTGACTTCACGTGAATATAATAATCACACAGAAAGAAAAAGGACAACAAAAATCATGCAGATATTAAGAATGGTCTGTACTTTAAATTGATTTAGTGAAAGGTGAAGTAGACATTAGGAAACTGCATGTGTAAGAACAAATTTATAAAGTCTAACATCTACATGTCCAATATGTGGTCCTGACTCTTTACGGCACAGAATGTAACTATATTATGAGAAAAAGCTACTAAAAGATTTTGATAAATCACATAAGAACAGGAAGAACATTCTTGCGGGTAGAGTCAAGCCATGGAAGGGGTCGTCTGGAATTGATTGAGAGAGCAGCGTGATTAATAACTATATACTAAACATGTTTGTCACATAATCAAGTATATAATACCTCTCCATTCATCTCATATGCAAGTAAAACATCAGCCTCGGGGTTTGTGGCCTGACTTAATGGAATTGATGCTTTATAGGGGCCTCCATTTTCCTCCTGTGTTTATATTGACATTAATATATCAAGTAAAATTTTCACATCGTGCAGTGACCAAAAAGTGATATGACCAGGAGGGGAATAAGTGATTACCTTACACTTGTCAATGCTTATAAATTCTACATGTTTTCCTCCAGATGGTGTTATCTGTGAGGGCTTATTAATTCCAATCAGTTCAAGAACATCTGCTAATTTAGCTCCACCCCAAACAGCTGAAATCAAAATGCATGACGATGGGAAATTAAGGAACAGAAACAGGAACCAACAAAACTCACTGATCTAATATAATATAAAAGTTTTAAAAGATCGCTGTTGAGACAAAGGAGAAACCCATTTTGAATCAGTTTATCTCAACTACTTTAAAAGCCTTCCGAATCCTTCAAGGGCGTATAGGATGCCAGTCCACATAGTAAAGAATACAACTATTTACTTTGACAGCTAATTCAATCCAAAATATAATAATTTCATCACGGAATTAAATATTTTGAAATGAAGCCACTATGCTTTATATATAGGACACTTCAACATATAATGCTCTCTCTTTGATAGGCAACATTTTCTAGATAAATAGATAGTTTAACAGAATCAAAATTCATTCTTTTCATAATGTACTTACCATTTCCTATTGCAGAAATATCCCATCCAACTCCCTTAACCTTGAGAGTTTTGCTCATGGCAGTTCTTCTATTTCCAGCACACTGCAAGTAGAAAGGTAAAAGTACAAATCATCTTAGCAAAATAGAGAAGAAAACTCGAGAAAGCTAGTATACCCATTCACAAATAGGCAGGTGGAAGTTATTCGGCATAACCAGAATCCCTAACCTCAGTGGAGACATATTGTATAATACCATGAGCTACTATGCTGGCTCGCAGCCATTATAACTCATAAATTATATGGCTATGTACCTTCCATTTTTATGATCATTAGCTCATGAATTCAGTAAATTCCTAGTATAAACCATGATAAGATGCTCTGGGCACATTATCACGGGCGTACACAAGGGATGGCATGGAGGTCATTTGACCCCCCAACTTTTGGGCTGGTAATTACAGGTTGCCAAACAAAGTCAAAACATTACATTCTTAATACCATTTCAAAGTGCTAAAAGCCTAATTTTTTACATCGTTAACAGTGCGCAAAACAACCAACTTTGCAAATATTACAATCTGTCAAAGTAAGTAATGCCAAACTGATATTTTGAGATTTTTGATAACATGTTAACTTTAAAAATTCTCCTACGATCGTAAGCAATTCGAAACAAATTGCCTACGTGATCTTGAAACTCGTTCGAGAACTACATCATACACATATCGAATGTTTCAAACAGACATCGAAAATAGTTAAATGTGCGTCAAACGTGCATCTAAAAAGAGGCATGTAATTCACCTTTTCTTTAAAACTTTTTAATTATTTCATTAATATTTATAATTTTTGCGCAATAAATTACTCAATATAATTTACATCATTTTATTAGGAAATTTTAAATGAGGTACAATGTTAAAAAATTTTAGAAATTTTACATCTGAAAGAGTCATACCCCATGTTGTAAATATACATGGAATATGACCTTTTCAGATGTAAATTTCCTCACAACTTTTTTGAAAGTTTGATTATGCCCATGCCCCCCAACTCAAAAAGTCGGCATCCGCCACTGCATATTATGTATCATTTTTAAATTTCTTCTAATACATTAGTAAATATTAAATCTTCATGTAATTGTCTTTTTCTTGTGCTCTTATTTGAATTAGCAATTGAGCTTATTTATGTTGCTGGCATTGTGGGAAGGAGACATCAATAGAGCACGGATTCTATAAGGTCCAAACTATGTGATTTAATTCCATGTATAGTTTTTTATCTAAGCAATATTGTCAACAGAATTATCACAACTAATATAATCAAACAACAACCAAACTAAGTTTCATTCCAACTCAAAAGTAACTTCAAAGAATATTTCTCTAGCGAAATTCATAATCAAGTTAAAAAAGTGTATGAAGTATATTCAAAAATAAAAGAGTATAAAAATAAAGATACACTATATGAATGTATGTATTTAGAAGTATTTTAATCAACATGTTCATCACTTGATCTTTTGAAAATTATAGTGAGCCTGTTCGGTAATGATTTTGAAAATTGATTTTTTGATCGTTAGGAGAAAAGTAGGAACCACCTGTGAAAGAGTAAGTCAAAAATTACGGTTGAAATAGTGAAATAACAGTCAAAAAATCAATTTTTTGGGGGTGAAAAATCACTCCCAAACGGGGCTAGTGTATACCCTGGACAACCTTCATTTCAGTGTTTCAAAGGTAGTACTACTTATCTGCATCTTAACCATCTAATCGTGGCATAAATTTCTCAATGTAATGCAACCTTTCAATAGTTGCCCTAGCATGTATCCATGCCACCAAAAAGAAACGCAAATAACCCTTCTCTTGATTCACGCCTCTTACCATCTTAACTAAGAAGAGATAAAACAAACCTCTATAAACATAAAATAATTCTTAAAGAACAAAGATACCTGCAAAGTGGCAGTGACAGTATATTTCGGTAGCTTCCTGTTATTGACAAACAATATAAGTCCAAAATTCAAACAACCTTGGAAGATGATAAACAATGACATGGTAAGGCACAAAATTAATAGTCTATATCACTCACCAAATGTCTTTCATGTACAGCTCTTTGGGGTTCCCTATTAGACCAGTTACAGAAACACTATATCTGCTCAACGAAATAGAATTTGTCAGTCATATGAAATTCATACATTTCAGCAAGATGAAGACTGGAAAAAAGGTGTATTCATGAAAAAGGGAAGGTGCTGGACCTCTCTATGTCATCAACTATTGGAATGGGCCCGTGATTCCTCTTATAGAAGAAATCTGCTGGCGTAACGTAGGACGAAATCAAATCGGAACGGTGTGGTTCAGCATTGAAGGGCGCCTGGACCAAAAGAGCACCGATCAACATTTGTTACACCATTAAGCACACAAAGCAGTAATTGATTAACATAAAAAATTTGCCAAAATGGAAATTTCACTTCAAAAGAGAAATTATATTTTCTAACGTATTGCATAACAATGTTATCTTTTGTAGTAAATCATAACTACTTAAGAATGAGAGTTTAGGACATATAATTTTTATATTCTTGCCTATTGAAGTTGGAGTAGGGGCTAGGGCCAATTATCAGTAGGACAAAATGTTCAGTACACATATTCAACAGGTAAGACAATTAGATATTAAGAATCAAGAAACTCAAATTCTCTGTTCTCAACGGTTTTAAGAATTGGAAATTTTCTTCAAAACTAAAGAAAAGAGTGTGCACGATCAAGGATGCATCTAGGAAAGGGTGTAGAGAGAGAGAGAGATGAGTTATTATTGCGAACCGTGGAATTAATCAGAAGGGCAGGGTGGCGAGGGGGCTCTTGCGAATAATCGGATGGTGCAGTTAGTCCAGGCATTTTTCAGTTCCTCCAGTCGTTTGCCGTTTGCTCAGCTTCTTGAATCTGGATAGAGACAGCAGCGGGGATACTCGGACGGAGAAGTGGATTTGGATGATAGTTTACATTCCTAGAGGACATTCGTGGAAATGATTGGTTGACATCGTCTCCAAAGTGGCCTTGGACCATTGTCAACAAAAAATAAAAATAAAAAAAAAGTTCAGTTTTAAATAGATATATAAATGGCAAATTGTCAATTCTACCCTCATCTTGACATCTTCAATCAAAGAAAGAGGAAAGAAAATGAGGAAAAAAGAAAATTTCAAGTAGTCAACTATAACGGTCGAATCCGGTCGAGAGTTGTCATCCTTAAAGTCTACCCAACTTCGACAATCACAAAATTCGATTATTATTTTTAACAATGTTAGTTTTTTTGTGGGATTAAGAGAATAATTTTTTATTTTGTATATCTTGTGAAATTTGTGATTTAAATTATTATTTATAATTTTATTTTTCGTTATTTATGTAGATTATTGGTCTACGATGAATTTTGACAAAAAAAAATGGCCAATTAGCCATCGGAAATGGCGACTTTTCATTTCCGACGAGAAAATAGTCAATTTAGGGTTGCCTATTAAGTCAATTGAGCCGATTGTACCATTTCTTTTTCTTTTTGTTTTTTTTTAAAAATGGGCCAACAGTCAGCCCAGCTCTCGTTTGGGCCAAATTTTTGGCCCTTTTTTCCTTTTCTTTTATTTTTATTTCTTTTTTGTTTCCTTACTCTTTCTTTCTTTTTTTCTTTTTTCCCTTTTTTTCTTTTTCTTTCTTTTTTATTTTATTCCTTTTTTCCCTGAATTGTTTTTCCTTTTTTTTTTAATTTGTCTTGTTTTTATTATAATTTTTTTGAAAAATTGTTTTAAATTTTCGTTTTTCTTCATATTATAAATATAATTTTTTGTTCGATTTAAAATTCTTTTTAATTCTTCTCATTTTGTGATAAAACATATTTTTCTATTTAAATTAAATAATATTTATTTTTTAATTTTAATTTTTTCAATTATAGTTAAAAAAAATTATAATAATTTTTTTATTTGTAATTCATTTAGTTTTTTATTAGCATTGATGTAAAATGAATCTACATCTTCCGAATAATAGTTACAATTTGGTTCGCTTAATATTCTGAGATTATGCTTTATTTCGTTATCTCTTATTCAATGTTATATCATTTAAATTTTTGTATAATGAAATACCATCTAGATGAGAAATTGAGACGAATGCGGGGAAAGCTACTTGGGACAGTAGCTTGGACAGTTTCACTAAAATACTGGACCTGATAAATGATCAGCATGCGGATATTCTGTGTCAGTCCTTCATCTGACTCCTGTATCAGTTGAAGGTGGTACAATATTCTGGATAGATCATCGATGCACTATTATATTCAGGGGCGGACCCAGGATAAAAATTCAGTGGGAGCGAAACCAAAAAACCATAGGAAAAACCCGGGAAAACCTGAAAAAACCTCAAGAAAAATTTTTAAAAAAAATTGAAAATCTAGTGGGGGAGGCCGACCCCAGTCAACCTTAAGTGGGTCCGCCCCTGATTATATCAACTGCTCGGGCCATTCGACGGCGATGCTTTCCATTTCGACTTCGAGGGCAATGTCGCTACTTTTTCCTTATTTAAGTTTGGCTTGGTGAGTGGACTCTAGAGAAATGATAAGATGATCATACGACTCAATTGCACCGAATGGAATCATGCGTGAGAATAAATTAAATTATTTCCATCAAAATGAAATAAATCTCATAATTATTCATTTACTTCACTTCAATCTTGGAGTTAATAATAGTTTAATATTTATGAATATTTCTAAATCGATATACCCTACAACTTGGTATAAAAAGTATTTCTTAAGAGCAAATCAATCTTTTTCCGTCCGCCATGCGTTCGCTTTTTAGAATTAATCTTTTTTCTCATTTCTCAAATACATTTTAATGATTTTGGCACTAATTTGGTATTTTTCTTTGTGCAAATATTTTTTCCTTTCCTCTTCAATTTCCACCTTGTTCATATATAGAGAAGTAAGCCACATTACACTAAGCCCCTTTGTAATCATAATTGGAGTTTCTTAAGTTCTATTCGATCATAATTGTTCTTAAGATCCTTGTCAACCAGCACATCAAGCTTCTTATCTTGGTGAATTTTCTTCACCTGTGACCATACACAATTGATCGGTTTGTTACAGAACTTTGTATTAGTATTTCAGGAAAGGAAAAAGAATGAGTTGCTTACCCACTCCAGCATAGCCCCTTTTTGGTTTGCTTGCTTGCCAAACTCTAGAGCCCTCTGACCTGTGATCAATTTTAGCAGAAGAATTCCAAACCCAAAAACATCTGTTTTCTCTGAGGACTGGCCTGTGGATAGATACTCCGGAGCAATGTGCCCTACGGTGCCCCTAACAGTAGTAGTGACGTGTGAATCCCTGTGGTCGAGAAGCTTTGCCAATCCAAAATCTCCAACCACGGCCTCATAGTAATCGTCAAGTAAGACAGACTAGTTATTTATGGGACATGACAACGGCGAGACACTCTATATTGTAAGTGTTTTTAATTTTTTAACTTTAAAACTTAGTTTTTAATTACACGGTACCGAACTAACATATTATTGTTCAAATTGTAAAGGCGATTGCAACATGTTTACCATAAAGTATATTGATTTTTTTAGTATAACACATAAGGTTGATGGAATCAATCAATCATAGATACAGATTTATAGAAATAAGTAAGGGTGTGATTTATACGAATTTAATTTTGATCGGTAAATATTGTATATTAAATTATTTTTTAAATTATGAAATAATAGTAAATATTGTAAATTTTTTGTAAACATTGTACATTGAATTTTTTTGTAATTATGAAATAATTGTACATATTTAATTATTTATTTAATTACGAAATAATTTTGAATATTGTAAAATAAATATAAATATAAATATTGTTCATTTAATAGCAATATCATTATACATCGGTCTAATTTTCATTTAGGAAAATCTGAATTGTACAAAATTAGCGAGAATGCTCTATTGCTCTGCACCTGTCGTACCTACGCAGTCGAGAAAATTCTCTGGTAGATGGTATTTTAGATGTACGTGAACGTGCAAAACCACATATTTCAACTTCTAGTAGCAACAATGTATTAAGTGAGAGAATATGACTAGGAACTTTCCACTCGACTTTCTTCGGTATAGAAAATATAGTCTCAACATACGCTGCTCTCAAGAATCAGCCAAGGTAATAAGAAGATCATAATGTTCTCACTACCAAGCCTCGATACATAACCACTACGACTACATGCTTATACAGAAAACTCTCCAACTGAAATCGACTACAAGTGCTCGTGTTATTTGTCGAGTCCACCATGTATGTCATATTACGTACACATTTCATGGAGAAGCGCAACACATCTAGTGATTCCACTTCAACTTTCTTGCAATCTCTGCAGCTTTAAAGAGTTTATCATCTTGAGTCCAGGCTAGCCGCACGCACAACTCTGTGATTCTTGCAACTCTATTTATCTGCACGTCAGTCGTAAAATCACTGCTGCAACTTGTTACGAATATTCTCAATCATTACGAGAATTGGTAACTCTCGATCCTTCTTGAACAATGCATTGAAAGATTTCGAACTTATTACACTCTTTAACACTATCATTATTTAATTATTTATTTCGACTATAAACTTATTACATTCTTCAACACTATAAGCTTTGATCACTTTCTTGAACAATAAAATGATGCTTTTGTCCCGATACCTAGTTTTCAGATTATCTTTTATATGATACATGCAACATCCATGATACACCTTGAAAAAAATTTTAGCGATATAATTTATTATAGACGATCCTTGATTAGCTACAAAGGAAATCCTCGACTTTCCGATCACTCCCTCAACTTTATAAAGAACTAACACATCGATAAATCATTCTCGCTGTCAACTATGCCGAATGCGATAGGGTAAATTTGAATGTTGCTGTCTTGACATGTAGCAATAATCAACTTGTCTCGGTATCTAACTTCCAGAGTTGTACCATCGACTAGAATTACAAGTTGTATCATATTTCGAAATTCCCGAGTACATTGTTCAAGAGCCTTGAAGAAAAACTTAAAACAATTCTCGTGCCTCCGTCTCAATAAAAAGAGCCAGGATTAGTTTTCGACATGTTATGATAATACCTAGCCAATTTAGAATAGCTATCCTCGGTCGAGCCCATTAAATTCTTCAACGTGCATTCTTTGGCCTTCTAGGTTTTTGGTAGCTCGTGACCACTCTGTACTCTCAATGGACGTCGTTAATGATATCTAAAAGTCTGTGGATCATCTGTGAGTTATAATACTTATGTATTATCTGTGGACCAATAAACCATGCTCGAGCTTCCTTTAATCGTTTTAACAAATTCTCACTTCGTAAGTATGTTATCGTGTATACTTACGAATCATAAATAATTCATTTGTATCCATCTTAGTCGCTTGCTAGTGCCAACGACAACTGTTGCCAATGCAAACAATTGTAAACAATAACTTGTTTGATTTCTTTTACCTTGAACTCAAAGTTGTATTTTAATGTCATCCGGTGCACAGTTTCCTGTAAATTTTTCTTTATTTCAAACAGTTGCTTGACATGTAAAATCCTCATCATTGAGAACCACAAGCAAAGAATTAGAGGACAGTCCCTCGATCCAACTCCTGAGCTCACATCCCGCTCATGTCTCTGATGGGATAAAGCAATTAAATCTCCATTTGTAAATTCATTTTCATTCTCCTTGTCATAAATTATCGACGAAATTTTTTGTGCGTAACAACGAGATCATGATGAGGAACAAATGTCTAGAGAATAACCACATCATCCTTGCGAGCTATTACCACTGTATTTCAAAATCATTGGCAATGTCATTCGCTCCGTCAAAAACTTCATGTTCACCTTCGACATCATTCATTACTAAAATCACACCAAAACAAGTCGTGTGCATATTGTTCAAATCAAATAGATAATTCACTTCAACATCAGAAGCAACCTTCATAAGTGGAATCAAAACGGGTGAATTATTGTCGAATAAAAATCTCAGTTTCATATCATACTGAGAATAATCAACATTCAGCTTGTTTTATAAGTCTTGGTACATTCGCACATACAATGTATTCTCTGTCATGAAAATTGGAATACCACCATATATATCACTCATCAATTCTCATACCCATCGATTATTTTCATCTAATTCGAAATCACCAAAGTAATAAATCAGGACTACAACCATATCTGCATGACAAGACAAAATTTTTAATTATAAGAAAAATAGTAACAAAATCACTCAATTACAGTGGCAACAGAAATTTATAAAAAAATTATAGCTGGCTGGGCCAACTGGTAACCGTTGACAGTTACGATCGGCCATAACAATTGGTTGTGTTCTGCCCCAGTTTGAAAGAATTTATGATACAAATGATTTTTTCTTATTCATTCTTTAAAAATTTCTATATCTGTTAAAAAATTTATCTACATGTTAATCTATGTCAAAATAAGATTTATCAATTAAAAAGGTCTACTAATTTAACGAAAATGAAATTAAACATTTGTAAATATAATTATGATTCGAAGTGATTGATGTAAAAAAAATATTTTCCTTTTCAACGTTCGATAAATTTATGAGATTTTGAAGTTCAAGATGGAAAATGAGAAAGTTTTTATGTGTATTGGAATAAACAGATAAGAAAAATTAGCTGATTTTGAAATTTTAAATGAAAATTGTTTAATTTTCACTTGTTAACTAAAATGGTAGTATTGTCTTTTAAATAAAATAATATTTTGTAGCTATATAATAGACTTAAGGGCATCTTTATCTTTTACCATCCAAAAGGCCATTATGGAAATATGATAGAGTTAAAAAGTTAAAGCGAAAAATAAGAGATTTGACAAGGTCAATTTTAAAAATATCCCACATTCCTATGATCTAGCGACACATTATTGGGTCAAAATTTCTTTCACCAAATAAAAATGAATTTCACACTGATATATATAGATTCAATCCGAGTTCTTTAATTGACATTTTATTTGTATGTAAAACATTATGTAACTACTTATGTATAAATAGTATTATTTGTGATGGGATACAATTGGATCAAAATTTATTTACACAAATAAAATAAAATAAAACTTTCTCACTCTCTTTTTGACACATCATATGTATGCAAATCATTATGTAACTTATCTACAATATATTAAATATCAAATTAAGTGAAAATCATTTTTTGAACTATTCTAACCCTACTATAATTCAATTATTTCAATAATATCTTATTTTTAGTTTTTCAATATGTATTTAACGTTCAATTATACATTTCACTATTTACATGCGTGTATGATAATCAATATTTATTTTTAGGGGCTTGTATTTCTATCATATTTAGATCAAAATGGTGCAATCAGTTCCACTTTATATGTTTTGGGGGTTATTCAATCACTTTAGGAGTAAATAAAATTTTCAAGTTCATGTACACTTCTATATTTTCAAGATTATTCATTTAATCTAAAATATGAATTTATTCTCCAAGTAAATTATTTCAATAATATTTTACTTCCATTTTTCAATACGTATTTAACATTCAATTATGCATTTCACTATTTACGTGCATCTATGATAATTAATATTTATTTTTCTCAGGCTTGCATTTCTCTCATATTTATATCAAAATTGGGCAAATTAGTTCCATTTTATATGTTTTGGGAGTTATTCAATTACTTTAGGAGTAAATAAATTATTCAAGTTTATGTACACTTATTTATTTTCAAGATTATTAATTTAATCTCCAAGTTCAAGTACACCATTTTATCTCAATTTCTTTTCAAGATCACTTGTATATAAAAAAGTTTTTATATTCATTAATTCAAATTAAATATATTCCACGCTCATGAATGTAATTGATCATTCTGTTGAAATTCTTTTCAAGATCACCTCTATATAAATTAATATTTTTTTCCATATTCATTAATTCAAATTAATTAAATAAAATAAATTTATTTTTACAAATTAGCACATCAAGTGAGAATCATTTTTTTACCAATTCTAGCTCTATTACAATTTAATTGTTTCAGTAATACCTTACTTTTCGTTTTTTATGTTTTGGGGGCTATTCAATTACTCTAAGAGTAAATAAATTATTCAAGTTTACATATACTTATTTATTTTCATGATTATTAATTTAATCTATGATATAAATTTATTCTCCAAATTCACGAACACATTTGTATCTAAATCGTTTTCAAGATCATGTATATGTAAATTATTATTTTTCTAAATTTATTTAATTTAAATTAATTAGATTCCATGTTTATGAATATATATGATTGTTCTCACAAGCGTTAGACATAAATGAATTAATCTCTCAACAATTTAAATTGTTTTCGCAAATTGGTGTTATTTCATTTTAATCATCAAATATTTTGCTCTCCCGTATCATGGAATAAAAGGTTATAAGAGACTTATCGGCGTATGAAAATGAATGGTCCATTAAAGTGATGGTAGTTCGAAATGGTTTGACCGAATCTTGTTACAACAATGCGGAAAAATTTGATATTTTGCTACTCATTCTAATTGACAAGGAGGTAATACGTGTAATATAATACTATTTATTTTGTAATTACATTATCCATAAAATGTCCTTTATCTTAATATTCAATTATTATTTTCACTTTTTCATCGTCTTCAAACTTGAGGTAAAATACTTCATGAAAATTTTTTCTGTGTCAATGTATGTGGACACCAAATCTCAATTTGACGTGTAAAGTCATATGACAACTACAAAGATTTTAGTTAAGTCAAATATCTCTAATCACACAAAAATATATAGTGGACAATGAGATTCTCGTTGAATAAAAAGTTCATTTCACATAACATTCTTTTTTTTTACTATATTTTATATTCATGCATCTTCAAATATTATGTTTACAGTACTTATAAAACATTTCAAAATAACGTGCAACCCTTGTTGACCTATGATTAGTTATTTACAAGTAGCATTATTCTAGAAACGTAGTTAAATTTCATTATGGATTGTCCCACTTTAATCCTTAGTCACATTTTTGAAAATTCATTTTTATCCAAACTTGTTTTTAATTTCACATTGTCCAATAAAATAATTTACACATATACTCAAAAAATTTCTTACTTTTTAACTAAAATATTAAAAAAAAATTACTATTGCAAAATTGAATCTCTCAAAAATGGGGCTCTAACAAATCCTTAATTTATCTCAATAAAATCATTTAACTTTTTAATGGCAATATGATGCGTGTTACATTTTTAGTTGTTACGATTGCAAAATCTATAAATAAATTTTATTTAAATTGAAAGCAATTCAACCAACAGC